CCCCCAGAATGAGATAGGTAATGAAGCTCGACTTATCATAGAACGAACCATGTCTAGCAAGGTTCTATTGCGCCTCTCAGCCACACCATTAAGCTGTGGTGTCCTAGGTGGCGTCAATTGTGAAACAATTCCACATTCCTTAAGATAGTCAAGGAACTCGATACTAAGATACTCTCCTCATTGATCAGATCGCAACATATTTATCTTCCTGCCCAATTGATTCTCCACTTCTTGCTTAAACTCCTTGAACTTTTCAAAAGTTTTTGACTTATGCTTGATTAAGTAGACATAGCCATACCTACTATAATCATCAGTAAAAGTCACATAGAAGCGGTTAGCATCCCTTGTGGCGGTTCTGAATGGTCCACACACATCAGTGTGTATGAGATCCAACAGACCTTCACCTCTTTCACAAGTACTAGTGAAGGGTGACTTGGTCATCTTTCCAAGTAAAGAAGATTCGCAAGTGTCATACGAATTCAAGTCAAATGACTCCAAGACTCCATCCTTTTGGATCTGGGCTATGCGCTTCTTGTTGACATGTCCAAGACGACAATGCCACAAGCATGCCTTATCCAAATCATTGGAATAATCAATGTGTAACACATTATGTAACACCTGATTCCTGGTACGAATTTAATTTAAGCATTTCTGTTTTCCTGGGACTCGACGAGTTGGAGGCCCAACTCGTCGAATAGTGTCGTGATCTGCGGGCATTTTAAGTGACATGTCCAAGACGACAATGCCAAAAGCATTCCTTATCCAAATCATTGGAATAATCAATGTGTAACACATTATGTAACACATGATTCCCGGTACGCATTTAATTTAAGCATTTCAGTTTTTTCTGGGAGTCGACGAGTTGGAGCCCCAACTCGTTGAGTAGGGTCGTGATCTGCGGGCATTTTAAGTGACCTACTCGACGAGTCGGGAGACTGACTCGGCGAGTAGGTGCTGTTTGAGGGAAACCCTAAATCCAAGGGTTTTCACCCTATTTAAACGCCTTATTGCAGCCTCCATTGTCCCTTATGCTCCCATAACACCTCTTATCGAAACCCTAGCCGCTTTGAGTGATCTAAGGCCATTTTTGGTGCTTTTGGGTGGTTGTGAAGCTTGGAAGGAAGGGAGAAGCTTGGGAATTCGAGTTGGGGCTTGTAGATCCAGAGATCTTATTCCATCTTCAACTCAACCAAGGTAAATGCCCCCTGTTTTGGTCTTTCTTTTGGTTGTTCATCTTTAAGGCTTAGATTTTGGGTGCATTTAGGGCTTTCTAAGCCATTTCCGGATTTGTGAAGTGATTCATGGGGTTCTCCTTTTAGATCTGAGTCATTGGAGGGGTCTCATGGCATAAAGGTGCCAACTCTATGGCCATGAGAGCCCCATGCACATTGTAGAGCACCTTTTATGGATTTTTGAGCTAAAAACCCCATGCATGTGCACCATGTTTGGAACTTTACGTATAAAATGGACATTAAGAGGCCAAATCTATGATTTTGACGTGTTAAGACCCATTTAAATCGACTGTATAGTAAGGGTCAAGAAGGGACTCAACGAGTTGTTCTTGGAAATCGGCGAGTCGGTGTGTAATGACCACTAAATCCTTTCTGTGGTTGGACCAGTGGCTCGGGAAGGAAGTCCCGTAATTGTTTAGACTTGTAAAGGGGGACCTGGGAATCATGGCACTTGACGAGTGTATGAACAGACTCGGCGAGTCCAAGGCAATCTCCCAACCTTTGAAGTTGGACTCGACAAGTTGTTCTACAACTCGGCGAGTTATAGACCGGACACGTTCTTATGAGGGAGATGAACTCGCCGAGTTGAAGGAAGAACTCGACGAGTCGAATGGAGATGGTCCCGATGTTTTGGATGAAGGAAAACTCGACAAGTTCTCGCTAGACTCGACGAGTGGTGTCGAGGTTGTATCGGATTAGTAGAGTATGGACTCGGCGAGTTGGCGGGCCAACTCGGCGAGTCAGGTCAACTGGATGTTGACTTTGACTGGTTATGGTATTGACCCTGGTTAGGGTTGCATGTTCTGGTTGATGACATGAGAACTGTCGTGTAGGGACTGAGGAGTCGAGGAGAGTCGATCTTCGCGTAGAGGACGGTTCAGACACTACAGGACATCGAGGTGAGTTACCTTCCAGTAGGGGTGGGTCTAAGGCCACAATGCCGACCCACCAACAGGGGTAATTAGTAGATAGTTTTCTTTGTGATAATTATCTAGGTCTGGTTATGTGATTTGGTTATGAGATATGCCCGTGTGATATTATATCTGTGTCAGTGGTAGTGACAGGGAATAGTCTTTCCCTGGCATAGGTCGTTAGGACCGAGGGGTAGGTCGGTACCTGATATGCCTGACTGTATGTTTACAGTATGCTAGTGGTAGGGGTGAAATAGTCCCCAGTTACCAGTTGAAAGATACTGACGGCAGTTACCGTTTGAAAGATACCGATGGTAGTTACCGGTTGAAAGATACCAATGGCGGTACCGGTTGAAAGATATCGATGATAGTTACCGGTTGAAAGATACCGATGGCAGTTACCGGTTGAAAGATACCGACGATATTATATGATATGTGGTATGATGGGGGAACTCACTAAGTTTTGTGCTTACAGTTTTGGTTTGGTTTCAGGTACCTCTTTGTTGAAGGGGGAGGAGCCGGCGGTGTAGCAGCGCATCACACACACATGGTTTTTGCATAGTTTTCTGGGATTGTACTCTGATATTTATTACATTCTGATGATATGGGTTTTGAGAGATGACATTACGGTATTATATATTGATATGATTTTAGCAATGTTTTGGCAAGTTATTTTATAATTCACAAAATTTAAAAATGAAATTTTTGGTCTCGAAATTTGGGATGTTACACATTATTTCCTAAGTTATCTACAACCATCACAGTTTCATATATACCATTGCAAGGTAATGCTTCAAAATAAAATACACCATTGTAATAAGCATTAATACCACCAATTTCATTATTTAAAGAAAATGTAAAACCTTGTTTATACAAACTGTGAAAGAAAATAATATTTCTCGCCATATCGGTCGAGTAACAACAATTATTCAAATCTAAATCTAAACCATTACTAAGCAATGAAGAATAAACTCCAATCTTGGTTACATGCTACACTTTCCTATTTCCCATGATTAAGTTTATCTTCCCGTTCTCCACATCCCTACTTCTTTTTAGTCCCTGCAAATCAGAACAAATGTGAAATTGACATCCTGCATCAAGGACCCAAGAATTAGCTTGTGATAAGTTATTAGATTGAATAGTGTAAATACCTGCAAAGGAGGGCTTGATCTTGTCATCCTTTATGTCCTACAAGTACTTGGGGCAGCTTCGTTTCCAGTGCCCTTTTCATGGCAGTGGAAGTACTCGGCATCCTTCGGATTGGAAGAGGGATTAGCAGAACCAACTTTGGTCCCACTTGAAGAGGATCCATCAAGAGACTTTCCCTTGCAGCTCTTGTAGGGATCCTTCCTCTTCTTTCCCTTCCCATGACTGATTGCCTGAACATGGGCAGAAGTAGTAGTAGGAGTAGACACAACCGACTTGCCTTTAACCTAGACGAGAGATAGTGACTCTCCGAACCCCAGATCGAAGAAACAACGACCTTTAACCGTTTTCTGATTTGGATTAAATAGCGACAACCACTAGCTTCGTAAGTCGGACCAACATCTTCGCCTAGGATGAAACCCTAACTCAAGCCACCACTGGTCAAAGAATCACCAAAAAACAAGATCGAAACCCGAACGTTGGCAGAATAGGAGCGATCCATAGATCAGACGACAACCACAGGCTCTGATATCATATACAAAATATGAATCGATCAATAATGATATACATGAATAGAACTTTTATTAAGCACCAGCTCGTTTTCAATAGACTCTTTACAACTCAAATCCTTACTACAAATTCCTAACCTAACTCTTTATGTAACACTCAACGATTACAAGAATAAAGAGAGTAAACACATGAAACGCTAATTTGAGAATGAAGACGAGAGAGGCGGATGAGAGAATGAACACACACTACTCGTCTCAACCCTAACCCTTGTGATATATACTTGGAATAAGAGTTGACCAGAAAGATAAACCCACTCCATCTTCAACCCGCGTGTAAATACCTGAGTTCCTGAAAATAGAAAAAACCTTCCTATAAACATTTGACATAAACAACCCACAAATAAGAAATTGTTAACAAATTAAACCTAATACAATAAAATGTTAGTTTGAACACTTACATATTTTTAACACTCTCTAAAAAATTTCAATACTTTCTAAAAAAAAAATTAAGTAACCTAATAAACGTAAAATCAATAATCCAGCAAGTAAATGTGCTGATAACCCTTTTTCAAAATATCCTTCGATTAATCACCGATATAGACGATGTACCAAATAAATAAAGAAAAATTAAATATCCTCCTATAATTTCTTCCTATCATCCTCTTACCCATGTCAAACGATGACATGTATTATATTTAAATTTCGTTAATAATATTTTAATCCGCTTGTCACAAAAAAAAATAAAAAAAAATTATGACAGGATATTTAATTTCTCATGAATAAAACTTGTGGTTTGATTAGTTTTCTGATCCTTCTCTCACTTTAGGAAAAGGAAAAAGATCATCGACTCACAACCCCGAATGATTCCATTTCACCCCCAAATCATATAAATAAAACCCTTACCTTCGATATCACCTATTCCGACCGGCCAACTACCATTTTGTTCGGAAAAATATCCACGCTGCCCCGCTCCATTGTCATGATTCTACCATCAGCATCGACCATCGATCTAAACACAGTCCTTCCACCTTCTTCTCCGTTAGAACCCTAATTTACCAACCTAATTTATCACATAAACTAATAATTTCGTTATCAATAAACCCACTACCGGTGATGACGACAATAGAAGGGCAAGACAGAGTCTTGGCAACGAGGTGAAAGTGGTTTTAACTGGATTTGGTGAAGCTGCCATCGGAACATTCATGGAGTTCGAGAATGCCGTCAAGGGTGAAAATTCCAAAAGGGCTTTACAAGCGGTGAGATTCATCCTGTTACACCGTATGCCATGAATTACATCAAAGTTACTGGTTGATTATAGAGTTCGTTAAACACCCTTTTACCAAACATTCAAGAACATGATCCGTGCTGTAAGGAAGCTGATGATATCGACAGCGGTGATACTCTCTCCCCTATTTCTTGCTGTTTGCTTTCTCTAATCACTTGTTTAGAATCAAACCTCGATGAAAAATCAAAACTTTACACTTGATACATATTTTTGATGAACAACATTCTAACTACATTGATCAAAAGTTAAAAAAACTCTGAGCTTTTGGGGGACAGATGGATCCGTAAACACTGATGGCAAATTTGTCATGGGGAAGGCGTTGTTGTGTATGAAAGACACGGAATTGGTGGTGTTGGGTCAAGTAACACATTGAAGCTGATTTTAAAAGAAAATTTCAAGAACTTTAATGTGTGTTTTGAAGAAATTTAAAGGGTAGTCACTTTGGAAGGTACCAGATGATCAACTCTTTGAAGAACTTTGAATATCAATATCTGAGAAAGTTCTTCCTAAATATCATGCATTTGTAGGAAGACATGGAAGTCAATTTGAGAATGGAAGACATGCTGGAAAATACTTAAGGTACAATCCTGATGATTAGGAGAATCATTTGTTAGACTTATTTGAAGGGAAGACTGCTGTTTTAAACAACATAAGAAGAAAAGGTACATAGGAATTATGCAATAATGCAAAAAGACTATTTGTTAATAGGTATGTATGTTTACTGCTTCTAGTTATCTTTTGAGTCCAAGTTGATGATGATGATTGACAATATGCAAGATGTGATTATAATCATCCGAGACGTTTTTGGGTTATCATAGGAACGCTGATAGATGTTCTCCTTAAGAAGGATATGATCATACGTCTTATATAAATCTAGTCTAGTTAAAGAACTGCGTGAGGGTATGCTAAATCGTGGGGTTCTATACCCCTTGTGTTAATTGAAAAACAACAATAGACAGACAGAGTTTAAATTTTTACAAATAGGATCCCTATGTTAATATCCCTTGATATTTTTCAAAAAAAAAAATCAACGTGTCCCAGCAGCAACTTTTCTTAGCACCGGGCAAAGGGCTCTCATCATCATTAGACTCCTACACCCCAACCTCTTTGCCCTTAATTTGCTTTCGTTTGATACTTGTTCAACTTATCCATTGCCACCTGTCTATCTTTCGGCTCCCACGTCCTCCTCGTCTCTAACCGAACCAAAATCCTCCCTAAAATAAAATGCTTCCAAATTAATTAATGGAAAGCAAAACTATCCTTTTAATAAATTTAAAACCTCGAGCATGGAGCCATTGATGCTATATTAGCTTCCGGATCAATCTAAGTAACCAACAACACAGTTCCAGTCCAAGTAAACAACAGCATAGTTCCTGTCTTGACCTTTCACTTTTCATTCAAACGTATCCTTCTCCTCGATAACTGCCCTAAACTCCATGGGCCCACTAAGTGTGATTTCACTCAAATGCATTGCTGCTTCCTAACCATAATCATCATCTAAAGTCAGTACCTTACAGCTAGCAAAGTTGAGCCAGCCCAGGTGTAGACGAAACTGACGTATCTAATCTACCAGCTAGCAAAGTTGAGCCAAAACTGATGTATCTAATCGATGTAAAACACTTGGAAATTGTCTTTGCCATATGGACCACTCAACTATCACATCATCAAAAAGTAAGGCACCCTTGGAAGGAAAAAAGAATGGATGTTGTTATTACCATTTCCATGAGTTATCGCCCTTTTTGGGACTAAAGGCGCCAAGTAGGGTTGAGATTTAAAGAAGCCAAAGGAGTTTGTTGGATCTGTTATATTAATTCAGAACTACTAAAGTATTACACAAACAAAAAAATATGTAGCATAATTATTCTAGAAGGGCTCCAGGGGCAAATCAGAAAAAGTGGCTAAATATATGTAGCATAATTATTCCCTTGGGATTGTCTTGTGTTTATTACATCATTCAATTGAATCTGTTTTACTTTCCATTTCATTCATCTTCTTCCTTAATATCTTCCTGCTTTTTGCTTTTCTTAATTTTCATTATCACTAAATTTCTGTTCTTCATCAATCTGAAACAACTTGGACATAGAATTTGCCTCCTCCATTCACAACAACATTAATTTCTTCTTTTTGTTTTTTTTTTTGTCGGCATTGGTAACTTCCACATAACTTTCCCATTTCTGCAACATTTTTATAAATTTAGAGATTAAAAATTATGATATTAATTATAGTGCAAAACTGTGATATACTTTCTGCAGCCTGAGTAAGAAGATGAAACTCTGGAATTCTATTAGCACCGAATGTCTTAAGTCCAACTTCTAGTAGAAGATAAGCCACTGTGACATTAGTTTTTGATTCCCATAATGTCCCTATGAACATTCTGGTTCTATCATCTGTTTCCACTTCAATCTGATATCAAAATAATTAAATTATGGTTTTTTTGAATCATTTATTGTAATTAATTAAAAAATAAATAAAGTAAGTGAAATTACCTCAACGTTCATCTGCATGATCTTGCATCCCATAAGGGCAATAACTTCATTGGAATCTAACACCGGATAATGAAAAAGGCAATGCTGCATGTCTCTTTTGGAACAAAACTGTTTGAATCTGTGTCAACTTAGTCTTCTTTGCTTCAATTTCTACAACCTTTAACTTCCTCCTGGCTTCATCTTCCATCATACTCCCATTCCACTCAATATATTTTGCATATCCCTAATTCAAATAACCACAATTTATTATAATAACAGTTTAAAGAAAGTAGGTTACCATAAATAACGAAAATTACATTTTCAGTAACTTCCATCGCCAGGTCATTAATTTGCTGACTCGCCATCAGAGATCAGACTAGTACACAGAACCAATCAGATTGCTAAACTTGTCAACACCCTCAACAACAATGCGGACGTGTTCAATAATAAACAAAAATCAAGGTGTACATTTTTATGTGTTGATTTAATTAGGGAAACTTGAAAAATAAGAGATTACTCACGCATCTCTGTGAAATGTTTAGTTTGTCACCCAAAAGCATAAGGGAAACTTCATTCAAGGCTGTGATTCTTTGGGCTGATGTTAAGGGCCCACGAGACTTTGAATTGGTTTCTTTTGATGGGACTTGGATTGGTAGTGTAGGTTCTTGTCTTGTCTTTCTTCCCATTGAGGGTGCCTAGTAGTTACTTTTAAAAAAAGTATGAATTTGTTATATAAAGAATACGTTACTTGATTTTATGAATATGTATAAAGATAATAATGTGGTGTATCTGGATTCCAGCATCGAAAACTTGGATAAACTGAAATTTTGGAACAAGAGAGAGCTTCCATCACCAACTTGCTCAACAATGACTTCCATGGGTTTGCTTTTGTGTCAAGGTTCCTAATAGCTGCATCAACAACTCCCGGAGACTAAACACCCATCTTCAATATCACATGTCATAAATTCAACTTTTCGATATCAAATTTTTTTAAGGTAACAACAGTAACTAACCCTGTTCCATAAACCAACTGCCTGTTGACTGGCTTTTTCCAAAAAAAGTGTTTAAAACCAAAATCAGTTATCAGATCAAATCTACTAAATAAATACACAATGCTTGCTTTTCGGAGCAATTCCATAAAAAAGCTGAACAAGCCCTTTAAATTACAAATTATGTTACCACCCAAAAATGATTCTTCCTCTCGGCCATCCTTTAATTCCAGCTAAATATCTGAAAAATATAAGACATCAACATGGACCGTAAAATAATAAACTCTAACAAAGTAACGTAGAAAAAACCAACATTTCCTTGTTGTTGAGAACTTCACACAAAAAAAAAAAAAAAAAAAAAACAAAAAAAAAAAAAAAAACAAAAAAACAAAAAAAAAAAACAAAAACAAAACAAAAAAACAAAGATTTAAGATAAAACCGCTAACATCCAATCTATTATTAAAAAAAAATAGTCAAAACCTAATTGAGTAGCTGTGAATAGATGATACTTTCAATAAAAGGGTCCGACTTGATCGCAGCGCAGCCACCCATGTTTCTGCAATATGATGATTTTGGGATTGTACTCTAATGACTCTTTTATTATGATATACTTTTAAATGTTTATATAAAAATATAATTGGTGTTTTTGTTGAATTAAAAATAATTTTTTTACCTCAATTAAACGTTACATGTTAGGTTTTATTCAAAAATAGTTTATAATAAACTACGAGTTTAGCAACAAAATGATTTCAAAATAAATATACATAAAACCATTTTAACCTACCAATGATCATTTCACAAAGCATGGAAAGATTAAATCAACCATAAAAAAAAAAAAAAACCATAACATTTGAAGACTTTGATTCTCATGGGATATAGGAAGTTGATTGAGGCAAAAACTATAAAGTAGAAACTCTCTATAATGTATCCACTAAGGAAGAGAAAACCTCTTCAAGATACTAGTCTTCACTAGTATGTAAGCATCTTAATCCTTAAAGAACTAATACCAAATTAGTGTTGAGGAGAAGGTCTTATTAAATTACCAAACACCCAAGTGTTCTTCAAAATAAAACTAAAGAGGAGAGGGGCCTTTCCTCGCTTCTGTCTTTTTTTTTATAGATCAGTTCACGATCGGAGAATTGGGCGAGGCAGTGTTTGGGGGAATAACTTTACCTGTGGGTGTACTCAGCGACGCATTGATGGAGGGATGAATTGAAAGAAGCCCAATATCTATTTAAAAAGAAGTTAGGGAATAAACACACATAAGCTCAAACAATAGGGACCATTCGTGTAAATTCCTCTAATCAATAGCTCACAAAAGAAAAGATAAAAGAAATTTAAAAGGGTATCATAGTCTTTTTTATATGGACTGTGCGACCAAACACGATCAAAATTGAAGCTACAGGGACCATCCGTGATAATAAATTTATTTAGGGAAAATTGATATTTAAAAAAATCACAACCGAAGTTTTTTGTTTTTACTTTAATTATAAAAAAAAAAAAAAACCTCTTGGAATATCCTCGTTTACATCTGGTATAAAAACTGTCGTTTATTCGCTCTCCAGCGAGACGAAAACAGCGCCCTCTTTGAAAACCCTTATTTTGACTGATCAGAAGAATTCTCCGATGGAGTCCGGAGGGAGCGAAACAAGTCGGAAACGTAAAGCTGATGATCTTAATCAGAGTTAGTATCTCTCTTGTTCAACCTCGATACCAGGAGATGGGAGATGGTATTGTATTGATTGTAGTTTAATTTCAACTTTTGGTTGTTTCAGAGTCTCCTTTGGTTCTTTCAGAGTGTCCTTTGGTTGTTTCGGACTCTCTTGCTGAGTTCTTTGCGGAGAATAAGAACATTGCTGGGTTTGACAACGTATTGCGTAATCTCGTATATGTTTTGTTATGAATGATTGAGTATAACTTGACTTGATGTAATCTATTACGAGATACTATAAAACATCAAAGGCAATTAGTTGTTGTTATGTATTTAACGTTTTATATGTTGTATTTGAGTTTCAGCCTGGAAAATCGCTTCTGAGTACGGTGAGAGAACTTGTTGAAAATGCACTTGATTCTGCAGAGTCCATTGGGGAGCTTCCAAGGGTCGAAGTAACAATGTAAGTGTTAATAATAGTATATGTTATAGTTGTATTTTTATCATATTGTTTTTTGTATGTATCACAGTGAGGAGATTAATAGAAGCATGATTGATGACGATGTTGAGACAGTAAAGGATAGTGAGGTTTGTATACACAGATTTGTGAATAGATTTGAAACACTAAATTCTATTTAAACTTTCACATAAGTCATTTTTCTTGTTATTATCTTATCAGAAACGGCTTGGCAAAAATTCAGCACTTGGGAAGAAAACTGCTGCAAAACCCATGAAGGGCCCCTCAAGTTATTACAGGGTGACTTGTAAGGTGTGAAGACAACATAATATTTTCCATTTCAAACCTTGTATTACTGTATTGGTTTCATCTTTTACTCCCATAAATTATTATACATTTTGAAATTTGTATGTAGGATAATGGAAAAGGAATGCCCCATGACGCTATCCCGGATATGTTTGGACGAGGTTTAGTTATCCAATAAGTTGTAGTTTAAGTTTCTTTCTATAGCATTGTCATGTTACTCTTTCTAGCTAACATATAAAGATGATGCAGTTTTATTGAGGAAAAAGTATGGGGTGAAGCAAACATGTGGAAAATTCGGACTTGGTGGTGCAAAAATGGTATATATTTGTTTGGTTCTTTCAATCTAACTTTTATATGTCATGGTGATGATGTATATTTGTGTCTTTCAGGTATCAATATGGTCAAAGATGAGTACAGGAGAACCTATTGAGATATGCTCATCGATGAAGAATGAAAATTACGCTACGCGCTGCATTCTGGATGTAGACATTTATAGGTATTGTTCTTAAATGTTATTTTTTTGAATTAAATATTATAATCTTTTGATTGAAAATTTTCCATGATCAGAAACACTCCTCATATCCATTTACATGAAAAGATAGGTGGCATGGAGAATTGGCATGGAGCTGAGATCAAAGTTATAATTGAGGGAAACTGGACAGCATACGGTGTATGTAAATCATGTATCATTTTTGTTCAATGTAATTATCTCTTAAATTAACATATATGTATGCAGTCGAAGATATTGGAGTATATGCGCCAAATGGCAGTTATTACTCCTTATGCAGAATTCAAGTTTCGATTTGTTGCAGTTACACCAGAGTGAGTAGAGTCTTTTTGTATAAAAACATAATTTCACATCTTGTTTGTTGATTAAAGTTTGTTTTCCTGTAGTGAAAATGGTGTGGTGGAGAAAAGTTATCCAAGATTGACAGAGGAAATGCCTACAGTTCCTGTAGAAACAAAGTACCATCCATCAGCTGTGGATTCGCTGCATATCATCCAACGCCTGATTGGTCAAACTAAAAATCAGAATCTTCTGGAGTTTCTTCAGCATGAATTTGTTAACATTCCCAATGAACAAGCTCAAAGATTAATCGGTATGTATCAAACAATTTTACTACACACTCACTTGTTTTTTAAAAGTTAATCTTTATCATGATGATGTTTTATTTATACAGCAAAAATGGGTCCCGATGTCACCTCCGAAACACAAGTCAACTCTTTGACTCTCCTACAAATTGCTTACATGCATCACTTGTTTCAACATACCAAATTTGATGATCCTAGTGGCAATGTATGATATTTTTTCCTCCTCTAAACATATATCTATCTAAGAGCTTCACCCATTAAGATCATAAAAATAACTTAATGCTGCTTCTTTCTAGTGTCTTGCACCTTTAGGAGATGAATCCTTTTGCGAGGGTATATATAAGGTGCTGCAGCCGAAGATGGTTGCAACATACACTGCAAAAAGGTAAAAATCCATCCATATCTTATAAATACACTCATAATCAACCATGTATTAAAAAATGGCTACATTTCAGTGCTCAAGTATATCAAGGACACCCGTTCATTGTAGAAGCTGGAGTTAGTCTGGGAGGAAAATATTTCAAGCAGGTGGGTTGAGTGAGTTTGTTTCTGTGTGTGTGATTTTGTGTAAAATCACACTAATTAATAATAATAATAATAATAAGTAAAAAGATTTTCACGTTTGAAAATTCTAGGGTATAAATATCTTCCGGTTTGCAAACCGTGTTCCGTTGCTGTTTGAGCAAGATGCTGATGTTGTCACCACAACTGCCATGAAGAGAATCAAGTAAGAGTTGCTGTTTTATGTTTTATAATCTTCACTTTTACTAGCAATTTTTTAATTTGTTGTTATGGAATTTTCAGGTGGGAAAGATACAAAATTTTTAAGAAGCAGGAAAAAATTGGCGTTTATGTTAACATTGTAAGCACAAAAATTCCATTCAAAGGGTCTGGAATGGAGTATATTGGAGATGACATAAGCAAGATTATTGCTAAGGCTGTCAAGGTCTATTCTCAATTTTATTTTTATTTTTAATATAATATAATAATGTTAATTTTTATTTTGCTTCCTTATTAGGCTAATAATAATAATGTCCTGTATGTTATTTTCTAGACTTGTCTTGAAGATTGCTGCAACCAGCTCAGGTCTCTAGACCTTAAAAGAAATATGAGTTTGTAAGTTGATCATCTTTTATATCTGTGAGATATTAATTACTTTTGTTTTTTTCTTTCTCTCAAGTTAATTGCTAATAGTTTATGTTTTTATATTGGCTGTAGCTACATTGATCAAGCTGCAACTGCTTGTGCTAGCATAATGGAGATTCGCCCAGACTTGAATGGTCCAGATACTAAAGTATGGACAAAAGAACAGCTGGTTCGAGATTTTCGTGAGGATTGTAAAAAGGTATCTAAATATTTTAAAGTTTTGCTTTGCTTTAATAATTATTTCTAAATTTGATTCTTGTTTCTTTGTGTTAGGCGGGATTAATAACAGATTAGATGGCAATGGAATCAATGCTTTTTGGAGCTTTTGTTCATATGGGTAACAGTTTGCATCAGAAAGGAACAAAGGTTATGGGACTTTTTGTTTTCTTTTGTTCATCTGGGTTTTTTGGATGTTTGAATTAGGGTTTGTTTATGTCACTACTACAAAAAACAGTAATACCGACGGCCAAATCCGTCGATAATCCGTTGCTCATACTCTTACCGACGGAATTGTAACAGACCAAAATCCGTCGGTATATTCTTGTCACTAATTGTTTGTAAAGGATTTCCGACGGCTACGACAAATTTTTAGCGACGGATTTTTCCGTCGGTGATTAGTAACGGATCACCGACAGAATATTTTTTGCAACGGATTACCGACGGAATAAGTTTGCAACGGATTACCGACGGAATAAGTTTGCAACGGATTAGCAACGGTTTTCAACGGATTACCGACGGAATCTGGAATAACTTACTAACGGATTACCTACAGAATCTGGGAATAACTCACTAACGGATTACCGACAGATTTTGTTGTGACTGATTAGCGATGGATTTTGGCATTATTAGAAAAAATACATAAATTCATGAAAGAATAAAAGATAATTACATATTCAAAACAGAAAAAATATTAAAACATTCATCAAATTTATATTTTAAAACCAACAAAAATAAAAATAAAAAAGTCCAATACTAGACGTACATTAAATCCATACTTGACACACTTTACAGCTACATAAGTGGATTCAAACCCTACACAATTGAAAAATAAATATAAGTTTTAAAATTAACCTTGACAAGAACTATTTTGTTTGTCAATCTATTATTGTTGCTCCCAAGATCGATTTGCAAACCTCCACTTAGCAGCAAACTAATTGTTTCTAAGTCACTCGTTAGATTGATTGTCTATAGACAATAATTACAAACTTAAAATTTTTAAAGCATGTTTATAAAGGTAAATGATATGCTAAATAACTAATAAGTACTTAACGTATGACCTTTTGCTGAGTAAAGATGTATGTGGTTCCTCTTAGCTGCAAAATTGATATGATCGAGTCAAAGCCTATAGTTTCCCTCGGCAACACCTATACAACATCTATAAACCGGTAAAAAGCAACAAAAAATAGAAACAATACTATACCCATTAAGCCTTAAACGTTTTATAACTACAACATTTTGTGTGAACCACTCCTTTTATATATATATATATATATATATATATATATATATATATATATATATATATATATATATATATAGGGAGTGGTTCAAATGAGAACCACAAAAGATTAAAAACCCTAAGAACCTCATTTAACTAGTGTCATACCCGGCCGGTGGACGGATTGACAAATATATGAATAGTATTTTGATTTATCTTAAGCTTACTGCATATTACTTTCATTCATTTATATATTAGTTCAGATAAAATCACCCACAACAACAAACCAAGTAATATCTTATGGAAAAACCTAATAAGATCATTTGACAAATGGCACCCCAACAATAATGTGTATCGTCATAAGGACAAAAAAAACATGAATGTACCATGTCATTCCATACATTCAAAGATATCGAATAATAAATATGTCTAAAACCTAATATAAAAAGTTTAATCTACCTAATAATTTCAATTAACCTATAAAAAAACTGAGGACTACGATAATATGAAAACTGAAATTTGAAAATTGGAAGAGAAAGACAATTTAGAAAACAATGTCAAAAAACTTAAAAAGTAAAATGAATTCAACCAACATTATCATCTTCCGAAGACTCGTCACACAGTCGTGGAAGTCGACGCTTCATTGGTGTTATTGAGGATCCGATAAACGATTTTTCAGAAGAATCAACTTCAATAACAACACAAACATCCTAATTGTAAAAAAAATGGAAAATGAAAATAAGAATAATAACTAACAAAGTAATGTATCAAATGAAGTGTCAATAATAGTTGAAAGTTTGTACACAATATATTGTAACTTACTTCACTTTCTCCACCATCTTCTATTCCACATATGGGGATAGGTGTCTTAGACATATCATCTTCAATAGTATCATCACCAACCTAATTGAATAGATCAATAAGAAGAATAAGAAAACTTCAAATGTATCAAATGAAGTGACAATAATCGTTGAAATTTTGTTCAATATCGTAAGGAAAACAGAAAGTATACATAATATGTTGTAACTTACTTCACTTTCTGCACCATCCTGTAAACCACATATGGAGATAGGTGTCTTAGAAATATCATCTTCAATAGTATCGCCACCAACCTAATTGAATAGATCAATAAGAAGAATAAGAAAACTTCAAACATAAAAAAAATATAGAACAATAGTATAAAAAAATATAATAATACATCGTCACATCTGTCACTATCTTCCACATCCTTTTCATCAGATACACTTTTTGTAACACCATCATTTCCATTAGTATTAGAAGCAACCTAATTATAAGAAAATAACACAAGTAAAACCATATGTCAAAACATAAGTTACAAGTTACATTATTAAATATATTTCACATGTCTAACCTCAAACATAGCTGCCACAATAGCATCATCTTTCAGATTACCAGAAGCATCCTAGTAAGAAAAAATAAAAGATAAAAAATAAGAATATCAAATAATGTAATTGAACTAAATATATAACAATTTAAACTAAATTGAAAGAAAACATGGTATGAATTAATTATTACACTCAATATTATTTACTTTATAAATAAGCTTGTCAGAAACATCAACCTGATGATTATCACAAACGACCTAATAATTGTGCAAGTGAAATACATAAAGAAACATAAGATATAACGAATATAACTTATATATATAATTTGTAGTAAAAAATACAATAAGCAGTACCATTATTGTTGTTGTTGATGATTTAGGTGACACTGATTCAACAACATTTGTTTGAATTGGAAATAAACCAACATCATCCTAAGTATGCACACAAAAAAAAAACAATATGAAAGTAACAAATGAATAATTTCAATATGTAACAGAAATAAAATTGGTAAACAAAATATTATAACTTACATCTTTACATTCCGTATGATTTAATTCCGAAATAGAAGCACTGAAACCCTCATCTTTGACATTACGTAAGTCATCCTAATACGAAAAAAAATTAACAATGAACGTATTAAATTAAGATAATTTAAGAAAATATGTAGTTAAAATCATTTAATAAACGAAACAATATTTTTAGCAGTATTTGTAAATTTAAGATTATTTACATGAGAATTGCACTTATGAAAAACACAAACTCCTTGATAAGCAAACAAAAAAATAAATACAAAAACAAAAAAATACAGATTGTAAAATAATATATAAACAACACAATAAAAAATTTATAATGTAAGATCCAATAAACTTTACCGTTGATGCAGATGATGGAGACAACAATGATTCGACAACAGTTGTTTGCAATTGAGAAATGACCTCATTTGTAGGCAACGACTTTTCTAGGTTTGGAATTTTAAAAGTTGCACCATGGTATTTAGTAACCGTGAAACGACGCACATATTGTGGTGCCAAATTGTAATGGTCAATCTTAATTGAAAAAACAATACTTAGACCACATAACCTTTCAAACAGGAAAGTACGTACCCAATTAGGATCATTACCACCCTATAAAAACATAATAAAATAGTATTATATGTAAGCATTTGTGTGGGTGTTTCAATATATATATATATATATATATATATATATATATATATATATATATGTATGTATGTATGTATGTATGTATGTATGTATACAACAGTACCTCCAATAAATTCATATTAACTAATTCACCAACATGAAGGCCAATAAGTTAAGTAACATATTCATTAAAGAAAACACAACTCATTTGCTTATCATCATCAGCTACTTCAACTACCAACTTATACCTAAACAAAAGTTTTTAGAAACATCATATAAGTATTATTATTATTATTATTATTATTATTATATATATATATATATATATATATATATATATATATATATATATATATATGTATGTATATGTCTATATATAAACATACACTTGACGCGGGTTAATTATATTTTTCTGACATCCAGAACAAACATAGCGATTATCAACGAAAGTAGCCTTCTTATAGCATCTTGAACATTGGACGAACTTCCAATCATTAAACATATCTATGTCAATGATTGTTCCAACAACAGTGTACAGTGTACCCTTCATAAATGAAATATAGATATAATTAATTACATAATTACTATAATAATTCATATTTCATAGTAATAACATACCACCTCAATGACGCCTATTTGTATAGCAGTATACATATTTTCTATGGTTGCCACAGAAGGACGTTCAACTTGCCTCTCCGATTGAAGCAAGACATGCATCGCTTGACTATAATCTGACAACATAAAAAAGTAACGTATATTGATATATGTGTTAAAACAAATTAACAAATAACAAATATAATAACACGGTTACTTTGATTTGTATGTAGCAACTATGTCTATTGGAAGATTAAAATACAATTCAGACCCAACTGTAGTTCTCAAACTTGGAACACCTACAATAGTAACAAATATAAAATTTATATATATATATATATATATATATATATATATATATATATATAAACATAATTAACATCTTATTTATAAAAAAATGAAATTACACCTTTGAAGAATACAACTTTGCAAGCCGTTACAATGAGTATAATTTTCATCTCCTTAAAATTTTTGATATATTCATCGGTGTACTTCATAGCCAACTTACCCCACAATGTTATACTCACTTTCATATCACTGTACCAAATAAATTTAGTAATAACCATCAACCACTGTTGTAACATATTAAATTATCGCAATTATATATATATATATATATATATATATATATATATATATATATATATATAATATATATATACCTTAAAAAGCATTTACAAGATTTTGCTGAATTTTCAGAGGTACAATTTTTTATGCAATATATACAACCATTTTATGCCTTAAAATCTTACTTATATGGTCAAGAAAAAGTCAAAAAAGTCAAAACTAAAGGAGGATAATCTCTTAAGTATATCATCGGAACAAACTCTTCTAAAGTAAGAATCAGTCAAAATTGAATCGGTATTTCCTCACATTATTCAGCCGATTGAATCGGTAAACAGGAGATACACTCTATATGATATCTCCTCTCTCAGTTCCGTCGACATGGTGTTGCCTTCAACTACTCACCATCGCCATCTCTCTCTAAAAAAACCCTAAAATCCATCACCACGTTGCCATCCCTCACATTCTGTCGAAAAAATCATCTTAAACCCTACCGATGTTGCCTTCTCTGCCACTAGGTACCCCTACTTCCTCGATCGTTTTGAAAGTCTTCCAAAAACTACCTTCGCCGTCACCACCGCTTCACCACTGGTAAATCAAGTTTGTTCCTTTTCCCCTTGGCTTTCTTCCTTGCAATTGTCTTCCTACTTTGTATCTACATTTCAGTACATACAAAGGTTAACCATATTTTACCACCACCATGGAAGCACTATCACTCATCTGGCCGTCAGCCACCAATTGTACTTTCGATCGAGACGCAGCCCTCCATAACCACCACATTCAAGGTAATAGATCTGAAGCAAAATGTTGTGCCCTTTTAATCTTTGGTACATGGACTGAGGAAACCTCAACCAAATCAGTTACCGTATAAGGTTTTATATATATTTATCTATCCTTTTTCATCTATGACGTTTAAAAATATTATTGGATGTTTGATTGTTTATTGATTTTTTGTTCAGGATGTTCAAAAATCGGCACATCCACATACACATATTGAGAATATTCCACACTAATGTTTGTTACGCTCATCTCTCTCTCTCTCTCTCTCTCTCTCTCTCTCTCTCTTGATCATGAAATCCGAAACATTATACGCTCTAGGTGGCAACAAACCCAACATCTTGACCAAATCCACAACATGGAAAAGATCACGAGTCACAATCTCCTCCATATTATGAAACAGTGGGTATAACCATCTAATGAAGGTATGTGTCCAAAAGTGCATACCTTGCTATTCTTTGCATTTCAGGTGAAGTAAGCAGCATCTGAAATGATCTCTATACTACTCCACAATAGGACAAGTAGTTTGCCTTTCTCTCATATTTTTGGTAACTGCTTTGGTATGATGCTTGCAGGTATGCCCTACCGGCCCCATGTTTGTGTGTATCTGTAGTAAATCTTTCCTGTTTAAGTTGTACCAATGGCATTTTTGTCCTTTTAACATTTCTTAAGTTTCTGGGGCAGCCTTAATAGCTATGAGTAGTGTGAAGCTTTGTTCCTAAATTAAGCCATTTTTCTGGTATTTTTGTCTGACTACAGGGTTGGAAGGATAGTTCTACTGAAATATGTTCAAATATGCTTCTGTATGGTTTTCCTGATATGGGTTAAATTTGTTCCTGCTATTCGCTTCAGAACAAACAATGAGCCATTTAAGGTTTTTATTTTTTTCATTCAGAATTTTCATTGAGGACTATTGTTAAATGATAAATATAACCCTGACTTTGTGGCTTAATTACTTGATGTTAATAGGCATCTATGCAAGGATTCACACAGAAAATAGTTAGAATGATGAATGCTGAAAACATGTTTGAATCACAGGAGGTCCAATCATCCTCTCACAGGTTCGAGTCTGGATCTGCAAGAATTTTCGAGCCATGGCATGCAGAAGATGAGGTGGATTTTTTTTTTTTTGTAATTTTGATGTTAATAAGTAAAACCATGTACTGCCATTTCATACTTTTACTTAGATTTTTCAGATTCCTTTTGTTTTTTCCCTTTTTGCAGAGTGTTCACTACAAGGGAACAGGGAAATCATCATATACTGATCCAAAAAACAGAGGTGGTAATTTTAGGCTTTAAATTTGTTTATTTGTATGTATTTATGTATGCAAGTGTATGTATGTGTGTGTAATATATGCAGTATTGCAGTCCATGATTTGAACTGACCTTTACAACATCAAGATTGTGACAACTATATCTGTATTATTCTTGGCATTTAACAAGTTCTATGTCATTTGATGCTCAAAATTCTTACGCTTTTATTTTTAATTTTTTGTAAAATGATATTTTGTGCACCTTTAGGTCTATTTTTCATAATTCACTAGGGAAATTAGGGCAATACATGCTGATGTATATAGATTTTAGTCTTTATTATATATTATTTAAGAGAACTTGATATATACGTAATATTTTGCTATCTCAAAGCATGATTTTTTGCTGTGTCGATTCAAGTATTCATGAAGAAGACAGAGAGATTAGAGACCCATGATGTTTTTGAGTTTTGTTTGTATAAGACCTAAAGTATGCTGCTGTTTTTTGCAACTTTCCCAAAGTATGTTGTTGTTTTTGGGGCTGTTGGGACTGGGCCCATTTATTTTGTTATTAAAAACGAATGTTGTGATAATCTATTATTTTTCTATGTTTTTTTTGCTTTGTTTGTAAATTCATGTTAGTAGTTTTTTTTTATTACAAAAGGCATATGTGGATGTTGCTCATTGTGACAAATCTTAGCAAAAAAATTAGAAACTGCAATGAGGAGGGTTAAAATATAATATTAACAACATTCGTTATGTTATATCATTTCTTAACAAGTAATGATAACAAAGACGTACGTTTTGTTAGTGTAAAATTAATGATAATTTAGTTTTAATGTTTGTAATAGATTATTTGTATTTGTTTGATTCTTCTCCATGTTGTCGTTTGTAAAAAAACATAACATTAAATATTTGCTTTTTGATTTTGTAGTTTTATGATTTGGTAACATTGCTTGATTATTACTTTGGTACTTATTAAATATGTTAAACTAATTACCTCCTCCTTTACAAATGGATGCAAGTTATCTTATCTATTAGAAAAATAGATAATATATTTGTTATTTTATATTTTAAAAAATAAATTAAACCTTATAAATTTGATAGAATAATTTACCTATTTTCTCATATACAAAATATATACTAATAAATATAAGTTAGTTGTTTAAAATGCAATAACCACATTTTTTACAAGAATAAATATTATCTGAAAGTATATCCACTTCAATATTTCAAAATTATTTGAGAACTGTAAACTAAACGTGTTTTTTAATGAATTAATAAATGCATTTGCAAATGTAAATCACCATCTTCTTTAACATTTCTTGATGTTAACCGTGATAAGGATTTTTATCTTTTGAATTTGCACTTTCTTGACGAATATATCAAGTATAATTGTTGGAAAATACATTCTTATAGTAACTCATTTTTCTTATCCAAAACAACCAGAAATATTTATTTCTAACCAATTATAGTAAGGTATTTTTTATTTTAACATACAACACCAACATCATATTACTATTTACTCAAAACAACAACATACATTGTAAATAATATGTTAATGTTGTTATTTTTAAGAGTAAATTACACGATTGGTCCCTATGGTTTGGGGTAATTTTAAAAGATTTCGAAATTTCAAATATTACATCCAAAAACTCAAATTTTCATATATTTATTTTCTTAGAATATATAAATATTTGAATAATGTTTTAATAAAAACAATAAAAGATCTCCATCTAGACTTCGATTAGTCGTTTGACCGCAATCCATCGCCAATACCAATTAAGGTCTCCACCTAAGCGTCGATTTATCCATTATGCGTCTGTTGTGACAGAAAAACAACATAAGTCTTAATTATACTTAAAAAACAAAGATTTAATATGGTTTGTAATCAACAATGTACATTTATATATTATTATTTTCACGTTTGTACAGTTTGGCATGATGGTTGTAGATAAAGAAAATAGGTTACCAACTTTGATGTAAATGTACAAAAATATATGTTTCATATGTGTGACATGATTATTACTTTTATCATAACGTATATTTCATCTAAAAAAAGTTGTTTAATCAAATGTTGTATATAAAGAAGTGTTGCACGATCAATCATGTGTTCATGTATATTTATAAAGAATCTCAACATTTTACTTTTAATTCTTATTGACTTTGTTTTTGCTAGCATGACTCTCATTGATAATTGTTTAGATGTAGTTAAACTATTTGCGCAAAATAATCAATTTCTTGTAGAAAATAATTTCTAAAAAACTCTATTCACACCCGTTGTTTGGCGCGGGTGAACGGCTAGTATATATATATATATATATATATATATATATATATATATATATATATATATATATATATATATATATACCTTTGATCAAAAGAACAATCTTTCGCAATCCAACTTTACATGAGTTAGATGGTCGTGCTGTTTCCTCAAAAGAACCCCACTCACAAAGATTCCCAATGACATCTACAATTTAATAAGAAGTTATTTAAGATTTTGCAATCCAATAACAAACGTAGAAAAACAATTTTAACCTGTAAGATATTTGTCGTCACAAACACGTGAACTAAGCTCATTGAATGGAAATAAATCAAAAACATAACGTTGAAAGAGTGTTGATGGCAAGTGGGAAGCAGCAATTGACGTATCAGCAAGAAATTGAATAAAGATGTCCTTACGAAGTGGCCGATATAATGATTGACAAGGTAAAACCGAGAATTTATATATCCTATAAACACATCCCTCTTGTACAACATCAGTAAACTTGCACATGAATGAACTTGCAATGGTTGCATGAATAGAAGATCCCTGTTAAATGCAAGTAATATCATAACATACAAAATCCATATCGTAATGCAAAGTCAGAAATACTTAATCAAATAAACTTACATTTTCATCACAAAGAATTAGATCTAAAGAGAAAACACGATCTGTTGAAGGGTTGTATGTTGTCCACTTACGTGAGACCATCACATGTACTTGCAACTTATCAGTAATGCTAGGCCTCAAATCACTTATCATCAGATAATTGGAACTGATCGTCATATCTTCCTATATAAATATCCATAACATATTGCAATCAAACCATCGATATCCAACAAAAATCAAAATTGCAATCAAACAATCGATATCCAACATAAAACAAAATTACTAATAAAGAAATTGACAAGAAATTCGATTTAGAACAGCACCAGTGTGATCATTAATCAGTGTCATCATTAGTGGATTAGTACATTCTTCAACAAACAAAAATTAACTAAGACTAACCTTGCACGCACAAATTCTGTATACTATGAAATCAAAAAAGAGGCAAGTACGTTTACTGATACGTGAAGCACAAATTCTGTATACGTGAAGCGCAATATTCAGTACCAGACGACAATAGTGATCGATAAGAATTTGGAGACCCTAAACAATTGAATAAGTTGAAACATTAAAAGAGAACGTGGAGCTACGGATCGTTGGCAGTTAACAACGGAGAAATAGGAATGAGGGATAAGTGGGATATTATTCAATGCAGATAGACGATATCAAGTAGGGTAAAACGTTAAGTTAAAAAATCCTAATCAATTAAAAACGATTAATAAATAAATAAATAAATAAATTACACTAATATCCATAATGGAAGTATCAAAGGGATTGTAGTTGTTAACTTACTACCGAATGATTGAAGTTAGTAAATGATGCGTATATATATTTCCTTAAAAAATTATAGTTTTTTAATAAATCAAATGTAATATATGAAATTTTTGTATTAAAAAAAGGATGAACAAACATTACATGATTATTTATCTGAAATAAAAAAAAAGTGTACCTTTTAAGAAATAAGCCTCTTCATGAACTTATGCATTTATGAATAGGATTATACCTATATCGGAACTTGCAATGCAGTCATTCAATGTTGTTTATACCATGTAATGGTAAATTATAGAAAACTTCTTTGTAAACAACATTCTTTGTCATATTGTTACCACACTTCTCCTTGTTGTCAATATAAAAGTGAAGACCAGCACGAGAGGTTACACGAGACGCTGTCACGTAAAGCTGACCATGTGAAAAAACAGGTTTCACCAAGAAAGCACATACATGATTAAACGTTTGCCCTTGAATTTTGTTGATTGTCATAGCAAAGCAAACTTTGACAGGAAATTGTCTTCTTTTAAATCTAAAAGGCCATGTTGTGTCCGATGAAGTCATATCAATCCTCCCAATTAATACTTTCTCTCCAATATGAGTACCGGTAATAATCACCGCCTCCAAAACCCTCTGACTAATTTGTGTGATGACCAACCGAGTCCCATTGCACAAACCTCTTTGCAAATTTAAGTTACGTAACAAAATGATCGGTGTACCAACCTGTAAGTTTAACTCATGGTTTGGAATTCCTGAGAACCGCAACGTGTTAAGAAATTCTGAAGAATACATAGTTTCCAATTCGGAAAAATTATCAGTACTTCGACAAATCTCATCAGCACTTAACATCTCATGCATGTCACCAGACATCTTAGAAAGCACATGTAAATTGATCATGTCAACATCATCGTTTGTCGGGAAAAGGATGCATCGTTCCTGTCACACCCCAAAACCGGAACGGCGGAAACGTTCTTGGGTGGATGACGTCATGTCAAGTATCACAACATATGCGGTATAGTAATCAAAGTACAACAACCATTGCATTAATAGTAATAGTTTTACATAAGTTACATTTCATAGAGACATTAAAGTAATACAGAAACTAGTATAGATGCAGCTCGGTTCTAGGTTGACTTCGCAAAAGCTCCCGGGTGTACCTGTCTATTGCTGACCTGAGAATACAAGTTATTTTGAAAGCGAGTATCAGCATTTTATAATGTTGGTGAGTTCATAAGTATTTAGTGTCATTTGTGTAAGTAAGCATTTTTATTCAAAATAACTTTATGAAAAGTAGTAGTTTAGAATCCACGGTGTATTAGCGTCCTTTTCCAGAAAATCCCATATTTTCTAAATAAAAGCAGTCTTTTACCAAGACCCGACAGAGTTATGTTTTAAAGAGTAATTTTTCCCGAAATACTATCATTATCAGAAAACAGTATTTACTTTAAGGGAATAATGAGAAAATCACAAGTAAAAATACCAGGGGA